CCCCCTCTCCTGCCCTCCCTCTCCCCCTCTCCCGCTTGCTGGACTCCCTTCTTCCCTTCTTCCCTTCACCAAGGCTCCCAGTTGTCCGGCCGTGGATCGTCCACTTCTATCTGAGAGTGCACAGGATTCTCCTGGCTCTGGGAAGCTGGGCTTGGACTGAGCCACAGAACCACCTCCTGCTTCTCCAGCCTGCAGATGCCCATCTTGGGACTGCTCAGGCTTGAAACTGTATGAACCAATCCCAAAGAACGCCTCTCATCCACCATCGACTTACCCACCTGCCTATCTTATTGTTCCCTATCTCTGGAAACCCCGATTCATACAGTGGACTATTATTTTCTTTTAGGTATAGGAAACAACAGCAGCCCAGAGCTCAGTACCAGACACACACCTTGTTCTCGGTAATGTTCACTTTTACCTGCAAATGTTTTTAAAGTCATAGAAGTGGGAGGCCCTAAAGTCCCTATCCCAACACCGGCTTTGTGTATGGTGAAAAGACACATGGAAGGCTCCAGAGGCTTGATTAGGTAACAAGACCAGCTATTGGTGCCGGGAGAGCAGAGGAGGAACTCTAGATTTTTAGTGAAGCTCTGCCCACACCAGAACTTTCTAATAAAATGAAGTCGATGACCCTTTTCTGTTTACCCAAACAAAACTTGCTGATAGCTAAACACTTGAAGAGTTCAAAAATAAAAGCTCATAAAAATGCCAGAAGTTCTGCCACTAGAAACAGACCCTGTTAATTCTTTGGCCTGAGGATGCAGCTTATCCAGCACCAGTCCCCACCTGTGTGTAGGGGAAAAGATGACTGTCACATGCAGCCAAAGAGCCACACAAAATCCTCTGTGCTTAGCAGCCGGCTGTCTTCCATCTTGCCCCTTGTGACAGACGAGAGCTAGGCCACCGCTGGTTCCCTGCTCCGCTGGCCAGACGTCGTGCTAAACTGGTGAGTTGGTAAAGTTTCCACCTGATCTATGATTTTGCGACATGGTGGGAAATGTGCATTCAGACCACTGCCCAAAAGCTGAAGTCGCTTGGCCCTGTTAAGAGCCAAGTTTACAGTGAGAATGTTTGCCGAGAAGGAATCTCCTGAAGAATGGGAAAGCATGCCTTCTCTCTGGGAGTGTGGACTATTAATTGACCTCCATCCATATTATAAAGCCAGGCCCTGTACTGTCATGTTTACCTGAAGAGACTTGCGCCTGGTTTTAGGAAATCATAGCGCGAGGTCCCATAGGAAACACAACCATTTTTGTATCAGGTATTTGTGAACTCTCAATATGCAAACAAACGTATGTGTGAGGCTTCCATCTGAGCATGTGTGCTGAGTGGCGTGTGCATGCACACAGGATATGTCACCTGCACCTAGGTGTGCCGAGCGACAGGGAGGGCAGCATTTGATCTGCCTACAGAAGAAGGTGCTGAGAACTGGTCTGTAGCACTTCCTGTGGCTAAAATGTATCCAGAAAGTGGCAATTCTCCACAGAAGTCCACACCTCTAGCTTTTAACATGGGCCAGGCACTGTGTGCAATGTCCCTAACCACAAGAGTCTCTTAGCTCCCTGCGGATCATTCTAAGAAGCATGTGAGACGTGGACCTCTCGGATCTCTCCCAGTAGGATTCAGCGGTTCTCAGATGGTCTGGCTCTTTCTTCACCCGTCCTCATGTGATTCTGCCCACCCTCCAAGAGGCAGATCCTCGAAGGAGGACCGTAGCAAGATGCACTTGCAGAGAGGATTTCACCCGGTGGTGCTCCACTAGAAACCAAACCCCATCAGCCCCCGAACCACAAACCCCAGCCTTCTCCTCTTCCCGCTTCACTACTGTCGGGGAGAAGAAAGAGCCAGAGCATTTGAGAACTGCTGAATCCTACCGGGTCAGATCTGAGAGGTCCACGTCTCACGCGCCTCTTAGAATAAACCGCAGTTCTGAGAGCGTTGGAGGGGAGACTGCAGGGAAGGTTTGCGCCTGCCCAGGCAGTGCCTAGGGGGTCCACACCAAGGAGCGCCCTCCTCCAACACCCTGGTCCTCAATGCAAAATTATTCTCAGTGTTTTTCATGTGAAAATCAGCAATAATCATGATGTTCTGGGCTCACCCTTTACTTTTAAAACAATGATCTAAACAGGAGAATGGGTTTTAACTTTAACAGTAAACACAATCGGTCAAAGATTTGAGTGTTTAAAGACAAGAGGAGAAAGTACCCCAGGGACAGGGTGACCACTGGACCTGGACAGTACCCTGAGGACAGGGTGCACCACCTGCACCTAGACAATATCGCAGGGATGGGGTGACACTGCACCTGGACAGTATCCCGGGGGTGGGGTGCACCAGCTGCACCTCCAGGGATTGATTCCCAGCCACCCTGAACCTGCTCAGAATGAAGGCACAAGTACCTCTGGCAGGAGGCGGAGCCCAGGGATCCCCAGGGCTGACACTGCCCCAGAGCCAACAACATCTCTCAATGCCATTGCTGCTTTATTTGTGGGGAGCAGGAAGGGGCCCCTACTTTTCTGCTGCCAACAAAGACACAAAAGGGAAAAGCATTTCTTTGGAAACCTCAGCACTAACCAGCCACTCTCCAGCTGTGGGGACAGTGAAGTCTCTCAGTATCACTCCACTATCCCAGTGCTGGGAATCCGTGACCTCCCAAGGTCTCACACCAGTGTGCTCGGAGGACACACCAGGAACCTGGGAGTGCCCGACTTCACTCCCACAGCAGGCGGCTCTGCGGAAGCCTGGCAGGCACCTGGCGAGGGCGGAGTGCAGCAGAGGAGACGCCACCAAGCCACCAAGAAGAATGGGGTTTGAAAGATCAGACCCAGGACGAGAGCCAGGATGGGACCTGGGGAAGTCACCGCTGGATGGAGACCCAGTGATCTTTTGCAAGGTTTTCTAGAAGAGTATCTATTATTTCACTAACGAGGTTCTTTGGGCAATCACAAACACTTTAAATGTCTTTCCCTCAAGGCCTCACTTCCTGTGACTCACTGGTCCTTCCAAGGGAAGCAGTAAAGCCAACGAGACTCTTGTTTGCTGAGAAATAAATGCCTGTCCGTGGCAGAGAATGGTTTTACTCCGACACCCCCAGAGCTCGCTCGCTCTCAGCTGGGGGAGGCTTCACCCTAGTCGCCAGAAAGACTTGGCCAGGCGCGGTTCACATGCCTCTCTGCGACAGCCCCATCCCAAATTGCAGATGTAGAAGCGGCATTTGAAATAGTGTGCGCTGCACTATTTCATGCTGATTATTTTTTATTTCTACATTGTCCGTATTTGCCAAAAGGCTTCTTTGCTTAATTAGGGAAACTAGTTTGGGGAATGAAATTGCAGGAACCAAGAGAAAATAATTGCATCTGAGATGCGGGGTTTTAGCTAAATCGTTGCTCATCCCCTTCTCCAGCTTCTTACCTCCAACAGCCCCCTGCCAACATGTGTCCACTGGGAAAAATATTTTAAAAGACAGCAGGTAATTAAGATGTTTTTTGGCATTGAGTAAAAGTTCCACATGATTTTTTCATAGTACAATGGGTTTGGAAGCATTTCCATGTGGGATAAGATCATCCACAACCGTCAAAAAAACTTGACAATCAAGTTAAAATTGAGAAGACAAACACAGCATCTTAAAGTGGCAAAGAGTCTCAAAACCAGCCAGTGTGTGCCCACCATTGCTGATGTGAGCAAACTGAGGCGTGGAGGGATGAGCCGACTGGCCCAAAGCAGGTAGGCACCAGAGGGCAGTGGACAGCCGGAGGCCCTGGCTCCAAGGGCAGCCACCATTGTGTTTTGTTGAAGAATAAAATCTGCTTGTTTCATTTCACAGTCACAAATACAGATAGATACAGACATATATTTAAAACGTACGTGCTGCCAGACACCATGGCTCACGTTTGAATCCCAGCGACTTGGGAAGCTGAGGCAGGAAGGTCACAAGTTGGAGGCCAGCCTCAACAACTTAGCAAGGCCTTAAGCAACTTAGAAAGACTGTCTCAAAATAAAAAAATAAAAAGGCTGGAGATGTGGCTCAGTAGTAAAGCGCCCCTGGGTTCAATCCTGGTACCTACATAAATACATAAGTACATACCTACAAATCTACATAGAATGTACTTGTTTAAGAAAAGCATTTAAATTATGAGCATATTTATACTTATAAAGTCGTTATGCAAGTAATAGAATACAATAAAATCAACACAATAGTAACTAGTCTGATAATAAATTTAAAAAAACTCAAAAGTAGAGAATGAGGGAGGCTGGGGTTTCGGCTCAGCGGTAGAGCGCTTGCCTTGCATGTGCAAGGC